ATAGTCTGTTTCTGCTAACCTATATCTGCTAAACATGTCTGACGTAATCTTGCGTCATCACACGTCAGGTTGCCCTATAATGCCAACAGTTTATTGTCCTTAAGGGATGGACTGAGACAAGGAATCACTCAACAATCAATTTATATTCATCAATATATTCTTTCTGAGATAACTTCTATGTCTGTCTTGTTGGTTATTTCAAAGACAAAATTTGTTTTTAATTTTAAAATTTCCCCATGTGTTGTGTTACATATTTACACATTTACAGCAATTAAGCTTTGGAGCCCTTAATGTCTGCTAATGAAATTTATCCTTTTATGATTTAGCAAAAATGTATTGATGCAAACCTAACAAACTTGTGTAAACTGCATTAATACTAATAACAAGGTAATATTCCTCTATTCAAGTAAGGAACTCAAAATTAAAATCTTCGCAGTGCATTGCTGCAATAAAACTTCATTAACCTGTGGAAATGTTAACTTTTTTTAATGAGTCTGAATAAAATATAATTTGCACAACGTCTGTGTGAATAAATCTTTAGCTTAACATACATGTGCTATGTCTTGAAACATTAAACATGTATAGCTACATTAACAACTTTTTTTCATTACATTTTATCTGAGAACATGTTTTTAAGCATCACATTTAAAATTGTATAAGTAGGAATAGATTGATACATAATATTGTATCATTTTTGTTAGACATTTTATAAATAAACTTCTAAATAATAATTCTGAATTTTATTCTTTCTAATAGATATTAGAGTACTTAATTTCAAATCATTACTGTACTAAAAATTTTCCAACATAATTATAGTTTCTTTTTTAGTGTTAACAATCATGTTGTGTTCCAGGTTTTCATGAATGTACATGTAATACATAAACTATGTATCCTCGATTCTCTAGCGTGTGACAACCACACACAAAAATTAAGTAACATTTCTTCTGATTGTAACAATCATACACTTGCAGTATATAGCCTTAATTCTTATGATTCTATCAATCATACAAACAAATTTAAGTAACCTTTTTTCTCATGATTGTAAGACACAAATAACTGATGCAGCTTTGGATGTAGAGAGGGAGGTAATGTGGTAGAGTGATGAAGTTTCTACCTGCGATGTAAGACACAAATAACTGATGCAACTTTGGGTGTAGAGAGGGAGGTAATGTGGTAGAGTGATGAAGTTTCTACCTGCGATGTAAGACACAAATAACTGATGCAACTTTGGGTGTAGAGAGGGAGGTAATGTGGTAGAGTGATGAAGTTTCTACCTGCGATGTAAGACACAAATAACTGATGCAACTTTGGGTGTAGAGAGGGAGGTAATGTGGTAGAGTGATGAAGTTTCTACCTGCGATGTAAGACACAAATAACTGATGCAACTTTGGGTGTAGAGAGGGAGGTAATGTGGTAGAGTGATGAAGTTTCTACCTGCGATGTAAGACAGAAATAACTGATGCAACTTTGGGTGTAGAGAGGGAGGTAATGTGGTAGAGTGATGAAGTTTCTACCTGCGATGTAAGACACAAATAATTGATGCAACTGTGGGTGTAGAGAGGGAGGTAATGTGGTAGAGTGATGAAGTTTCTACCTGCGATGTAAGACAGAAATAACTGATGCAACTTTGGGTGTAGAGAGGGAGGTAATGTGGTAGAGTGATGAAGTTTCTACCTGCGATGTAAGACACAAATAACTGATGCAACTGTGGGTGTAGAGAGGGAGGTAATGTGGTAGAGTGATGAAGTTTCTACCTGCGAAACTTTTGTTTTATCCAGCAAAACTAGGAGAGATGATGAGCCAATGAAATGTGAGCTAATGAGGTACAAGCAGGGTCAAGGGTCATGCAGCACAGCTGTTAAACTTGACACAGCTGACAAGTTTGGCAGAGGTTAAACCTGGTACAACTGACAAGTTTGGCAGATGTTAAACCTGACACAACCAACAAGTTTGGCAGATGTTAAACCTGGTAAAACCAACAACCTAGTACAACTTGGACACAACTGTGATGTACAATGCTTGACCACAAGGTTTTAAATTCATTATTTTGTTGGAGTGTACAAAACCCTGGTTTTAAACAGAAAGATAACCAAACAAAGTCAAACAGAGAAAAAAGCTCAACCAAATGGAAAATAAAAGTTGTACTGAGCAGACTTTGAATAAATAAGATAATAAATCATTTCTGTTAGCACTGAGATCATTAGGAATGATAAACAAAACATGATTATTAAATAGGCTGTAGGTATTTGTGTGCATGATGAATGGATTTGGTAACATCCAACATGTTATGTCTGATTTTAAGTATATTTTTTGTAAGAAGTTTTATTCATTACAATTGATGTAAATTTGCAATTAATTAATGAATACAAATTAAATTAGTTATTATTTCAAAATGTTTATACAAAATATAATTAATAAATATCAGTTACCATGCTAATAGAAATTAATTTTGTAGATCATTGATGGAAACCATTTTAAAAACTGGCATGTTTATTTCTGAAGCAAAAAATTTTAGTATATCATTGATTGGGAAGTTTAATTCTGACACAAAATATTTTAAAGCAGGTCTATAAAAAAGTCTTAAATTGTTAACAAATCTCTAGTAAAAACGTTAACATGTGGACACTGTAAAAAGGAATGTATTTTTTGTAAAAAAAATTACTGTAAAATAATATGCAGGTAAAATAAAAGCGCAGCCCTAGAAGAAAAAAATATTAACCTCACAATTTACACATTATTTATTTAAGGAATGTCAATAGCAAAAAAATATTAACCTCAAAATTTATACATTATTTATTTAAAGAATGTCAATAACAAAAAAAATGTACAGTATTAATTTTAAATCACAAGTTAAAATGTTTCAATTCAAATATTCATTTCCCTAATTATAAAATCCCAATACCATCATTACCACATTTTCATAACCTAAACCAATTTTAAAATCTACTATAATACCAATTCAAATACACACTGAATATCCAAGTACATTAGTGATTTAGGATTAACTATATGCAGGGGCAGATAATTATGGCAAGAAGCTATAAATAGTATCACATTAAAATCAAAGTGACTTTCTCATCCTCCACTATGATGTCCTATTTCTAAGTGCATTAAAGAAATGCCATTCTATAAACCCTTTTAAATACAACAGAAGTGAGTTCTGTAGACACACACAGGCAAGCTTACAATTCAAGCTCTCTATTTTGTTTATAAACTTTATCTTTAACATTTTTAGAAATAGAAATATGTTTGATACAGTCTGAAGCTAACCAGTTATTAAAACATTTTTTCTTGTTATGTATTGACCAAATAGGCAAACCAAAAACACTTTTTCCCCCTCCAAAACAGAGGCAAAAGTTTACAAGCCATTAATAATTAATTTTAAAAAAAGGATAATTAAAATATTTTATTTATCGAGACCAGTGAATTGAGTGAGATATGCTGAATCTTTTGAAAACTTTGACCAAGTATCAAATACACAAGTATTTTAATCTGATTGAAATTTAGGAAATTAGTTGTAGGCATCCATAACAAAATCCCACTTAATAAAAATTAATTATAATTTATACCAATTTTAATTTACCTTATAGTTTCTACTAATTTAATGCTAACCTTGGTTGTTTCTTTAAAAAGAAAATTAAATTATATTATGTAGAAATATTTATGAATCAAACCTTAGATTACTATCAGCCAATTGTGTTTGTAACTAGTGAAAATAAATTGATCACCAAATGGTTTGTATGGCTAAAATTATCCCAGCCAATTATAATTGGTCTCTAAACAAACTAAAAGTATCAACCAATCGGAATTTGTGTGAATTGGGTAAATAAAAAAGTATCAGCCAATGACTCAAGGGAACAAATTTAAAGTTAACTCTTGTATCTATTATAATTTTCTGTTTTAGATGAATGATACATCTATGTGATACCTCCAGGTTTACTTGAAAACATTTAAAATTGTTTTTTTTATCCTGCAGTTTTGTAAATAACAATCTGTCTGAAACAATCAGCATCAGGTTGCTAAAAGTCCCACCCACAAGTCCCACAACTCCATGTAAAACACATGTCAAGAAGTTTGAGAGTAAAATAACCAAATGCTATGACTTGAATGAGAGCAAGTCAAGCCCCACATTTATAGTGAAGAAAACAGGTCAACATGATAAGGGAAAATGTGAATCTCAGCTTTAAAACTCACAGTTCTAACTAGAACATCTGTAAGGTTAATTCACATGTCTAGCTAGTACATGTATAATGTTAACATTCTATGTTAAACAACTCTCACCACAAATTTAAACTCCAGGAAGTAGAGAACTACACAGCATCAACAGGTCAAAGTTCATATCCTTAGAGTGAAGAATAACACAGAAAAAGTTTAGCTCCAAATGTCCAACTTAGCTTCTCCTATATCCACTGAGAATCTGACACATTACCAAATGTTTGTAAAGTATTTTAGACAGGTCACTTACACAGTTGGTCAACTGGTCAGTGGCTTGTCCTGCAGCAAATAATACAACTCAACCATCAGTCTTCTGCTGACCAACACATTGGCAAAATCACAACAATCCCAGAACACATTTTGAAATAATTGTAGACATTTGTTCATCCATTATTTCATAACTAACTAGTATGTCCTAAATAATATGCCAGCTAGTGACTAGATGTGTGTCGTATGTCAGTTAAGGATTGACACGTGTCCACAATGTGTCCGTTCTCTGTGTCAACCATTGACTCACTGTATCCTTGCCCACCCAAGTTTGTGTGGTCAGCAACTGACTAGCCCTGACCTTCCTGTACAGCTGCGAGAAAGTCCTGTCCTGCCCTGATCCTAGTCTATCTGAGGTAAATGGTAGAACAAATTTGTCTTGCTTCTACACAAGGCGAAGATGAATGACTCACTCAGTGTTGAGTGGCTGATGGTTCATGTTGGATGACTGATGATGTGAAGCTAGTGACATCAAGATGACTTTGAGAAGATGACTGAAGAACATAGAAGGAGGCTGGCTACCAGTGGGTGCTACTCTCTACAGACCTAGTTTTGTGTATAGCTGATGACACTGTTATATCAGAACACTCGTCCGAACTTGTGTCAGTCTCAGATTTCTGGGAAACAAAACAAAAAAATTTATCACCGAGAAACTCATTGTTTGTAATATTTTTTAGTAATTTTTAACATGATTATTGTAAACAAATGTTTTGAGTTACTTTTGTTTAAAAAACAAACTTGAAATGAAAATAAATCTACAATAGAAACATTGCACCTAAATATTACCTGTTTTAGAAATGTAAATATTGGTAATAAAATAATACGGACATAGAACAATTATCACTAACATAATTTAGACATTTAAGAAAAATATAATCTAAAAAGGCAAACACAAATTATATTTATATGTATGCTAATGTACGGCTATAAACAAATCTCCAACCCACCATCCTATCAGGGGAGTTAACTTTATTTTTCATCTTCTTGACAGTTTTCTCCCTGTCCGACAGACCATCTGGTATGTAGGTCAGTTTGGTCAGCTCCGCCTGCAGGTTTTCTGCACTGCCAGTGGACAGCAGACCGTTGTCACCACTGCCATCTTGGTTGCCTGACCTGTCACTGATGTCCTCCTCTAAGAAGACACCTTCAGAGCTCAGGGTGGAGAAGGACTGGCGGCAGGGGGGACGACAAGGTGTCTCGTCATCACTCACCTCCCCTTCCTCTTCTTCAGACCAGGATTCTTCAAAGTGCTAATGGAGATAAGAAAATATTTTTCACATCTGGAATTTTCTTTTTAAATTTAAGGGGATAGGCTCAGGAAAAAAAACTTAAATAATTAGGCATTTAAGGGGTAATATTTGCATGCCTTAGGGACTCTTCTGAAAATATAGTTGCCATGGCAATGGCGGCCATCTTGAAAAAAAACTGTTTGTGGAGATCTAAAATTTCATAAATTAACATATATATTAGCCCTTCTTTTACTAACACTAATAGAGTCAGCTGGTTGGTATTTTTTAACAGAAAAACCGCTACAAATATTTTTTTCCTCAAATTTTCAATTTTTTGTCTGTGAAATACTGTTAAATTTAGCATTGCTTTTAAAGATTTTTTACAATATATTTTAAAAATTAAAAAAAAAATGTCTAGAGTGTTTTCTTGAGTCTACACCCTTAAACCAAAATTCATTATTTTAAAAATGATCTATTATTAGTTATTATTAATCAACAACCATATAATAATACAAAATACATAACATTAATAAAAGTTGATTGGTAGTTTTCTGCTATTTTATAACAGACATTTTTTTTTTCTAAACTGGAGCCAAATAATTTTTAAACAAAAATGTTGCAACACTAGCAAATATCATCACTTACTACACACAAAATTTAATAAGTAAAAAAATATTTTTAAATGGATTTTCTAACAGTTTGCAATTAATTTTGTTAGTGTTTGGTCAAAACGAAAAAATATATAGAAAAAACTACTTACTTTTCCAATATTGTTTAAACATAACATTAAATACTTTTTTGTTAGCATTTGTAACCATTAAAAAAATGTATAAGTGGAGTGTTGTTTAAAATATGCTCAGGATAATTATTATAGTTATATTTCTTTTCTGTCATTTTGACATGGTTAAAAATACCAGTCTTTTAACTATTATTTTATTACTAATGATAATAATACAGTAGTTTTACCATAAACTTTATTAAGCCTGAAAAAAAAATAATTCCAATAGTGTTTGAAGAAAATAAGATTAACGATCAGCTAAGGGGAGTGATTAATGGTAAACAACCACAAATAGGTAACTACATAAAATTTAGTAAATTTGATAAACTATTATAATTTTTTTATATAAAAATAGCTGATTGTAATTTTAAAAGAGAAAAAGAAAACATGAAATAAAAATTTAAAAAAATAAAAATTGTAAAAACTTTGATGGACTGACCTTTGTGTTTCTGAATCTAACAGAGGAATTGTTTGCCTCCCTTTTCTGCAGGACACCGTCCACATTTTGTCCAGCTCTCTCCGTCCCCGCCTGGCTGTCCTCGTACCTGTCCTGACACCTGCCAGAGTTCTCAAAGATGTCAGAGCTTCTCCTCCGGCAGGACGGGCTCCTGTGTCTCCTGCTCATATCCTGGCTGCTGTGAACCCGTTTGACCCCCGACCCCTGTGAGGTCATAAGTACAAGATGGTGGTTGGTGGAGTTTGTGAGAGTCTGTTGTGTGAGACTGGTGTTGATGGTGTCACAGTCAGTGTGTGACGTCGTCGTTTGGATGACGCCCGAGTTCAACTGTGAGCTAACAGAGTTTGTGCTGCTCTCTGGGAAATTTAAATTTTCATTCGAGTCTTTTTCTCGGACTGTGTACGTCTGGGGTTGAAGGTCAGCGGGGGATGCCATGGGCGAGCATGAACATGACCCTGAGCCAGTTTCATGGCGAGACGAGTCAACATCCGGAGATGATTTCTCGCTCATTGTTTCAAGCGGTTGGTGTTTGGGGCTAGACAGGGGAGATAAATCACAGGTGCTCTCAACATCGGCGCTGACCTGGGACGACCTTTTGCTGCTGCACGTGGCGTCACTACACCCGCCGTCGCAGCCAAAGCAAACGTCGTTGATGTTATTGTCTTTGAATAGCGGTGATCGCCTGGAGATGGGAGACCTCTTGGTGCTGTTGTTGGTGCTGGAGGTCCTGCTACACAGCTCCTGACGTTTTTTGATGTTGTTCTCCATGTGTGAGATCCTCATCTCACAGCCGTCCACCTCGTCCTCGCTCCTGTACTCCCTGATGGCCGTCCCTGGCCCCAGGTACTTTAAAGTACCGGGGAACTGCGGGTGCTCTATGTGGTGTAGGCCAGCAGGGTTCAGAGCTTCAGCATTTCTGGCTTCGTGGTCCCGCGAGGGGGACTTGATGGGGGAGGCGATGTCCTTCATAGAGCTTCGGCTGTTATTGCGACGATGTCGAGACTTGCGCGTCCTCATCTTGGTGGGTGAGGGTAGAATCAGCTCTGAGCTTGTTGTCATGCTGCCTTCTGTGTTTTTCATGGAGTCTGGTCTGTGGGCACAAAGCAACAATGGTACAGAAACTTAGGATTAGAGAACGTGATGGAAGGGTTAGACAGGAGTAGGTGCCCAGAGTAGAGAGGGATGGTGACAAGAGTTGAGAGGGGTGGTGACAAATGAGGGGTGGTGACAAGAGTAGAGAGGTGTGGTGACAAGAGTAGAGAGGGGTGGTGTCAAATGAGGGGTGGTGACAAGAGAGTGATGGTGACAAGAGTTGAGAGGGGTGGTGACAAGAGTAGAGAGGGGTGGTGACAAGAGTAGAGAGGGGTGGTGGCTAGAGAGGGGTGGTGACAAGAGTAGAGAGGGGTGGTGACAAGAGTAGAGAGGGGTGGTGACAAATGAGGGGTGGTGACAAGAGTAGAGAGGGGTGGTGACAAGAGTAGAGAGGTGTGGTGACATGAGAGTGGTGGTGACAAGAGAGGGGTGGTGACAAGAGTAGAGAGGGGTGATGACAAGAGAGGGGTGGTGACAAGAGTAGCGAGGGGTGGTGACAAGAGAGGGGTGGTGACAAGAGTAGCGAGGGGTGGTGACAAGAGTAGAGAGGGGTGGTGACATGAGAGTGGTGGTGACAAGAGAGGGGTGGTGACAAGAGTAGAGAGGGGTGGTGACAAATGAGGGGTGGTGACAAGAGTAGAGAGGTGTGGTGACAAGAGTAGAGAGGTGTGGTAACAAGAGTAGAGAGGGGTGGTGATAAGAGTAGAGAGGGGTGGTGATAAGAGTAGAGAGGGGTGGTGACAAATGAGGGGTGGTGACAAGAGTAGAGAGGGGTGGTGACAAGAGTAGAGAGGTGTGGTGACAAGAGTAGAGAGGGGTGGTGACAAGAGTAGAGAGGTGTGGTAACAAATGAGGGGTGGTGACAAGAGAGGGGTGGTGACAAGAGAGGGGTGGTGACAAGAGTGGAGAGGGGTGGTGACAAGAGTAGAGAGGGGTGGTGACAAGAGTAGAGAGGGGTGGTGATAAGAGAGGGGTGGTGACAAGAGTAGAGAGGGGTGGTGACAAGAGTAGAGAGGGGTGGTGACAAGAGTAGCGAGGGGTGGTGACAAGAGAGGGGTGGTGACAAGAGTAGAGAGGGGTGGTGACAAGAGTAGAGAGGGGTGGTGACAAGAGTAGAGAGGGGTGGTGACAAGAGTAGAGAGGGGTGGTGACAAGAGTAGAGAGGGGTGGTGACAAGAGTAGAGAGGGGTGGTGACAAGAGTAGAGAGGGGTGGTGACAAGAGAGTGATGGTGACAAGAGTTGAGAGGGGTGGTGACAAGAGTAGAGAGGGGTGGTGACAAGAGTAGAGAGGGGTGGTGACAAGAGAGGGGTGGTGACAAGAGAGGGGTGGTGACAAGTGAGGGGTGGTGACAAGAGTAGAGAGGGGTGGTGACAAGAGTAGAGAGGGGTGGTGGCTAGAGAGGGGTGGTGACAAGAGTAAAGAGGGGTGGTGACAAGAGTAGAGAGGGGTGGTGACAAATGAGGGGTGGTGACAAGAGTAGAGAGGGGTGGTGGCTAGAGAGGGGTGGTGACAAGAGAGGGGTGGTGACAAGAGTAGAGAGGGGTGGTGACAAATGAGGGGTGGTGACAAGAGTAGAGAGGGGTGGTGACAAGAGAGGGGTGGTGACAAGAGTAGCGAGGGGTGGTGACAAGAGAGGGGTGGTGACAAGAGTAGCGAGGGGTGGTGACAAGAGTAGAGAGGGGTGGTGACATGAGAGTGGTGGTGACAAGAGAGGGGTGGTGACAAGAGTAGAGAGGGGTGGTGACAAATGAGGGGTGGTGACAAGAGTAGAGAGGGGTGGTGACAAGAGTAGAGAGGTGTGGTGACAAGAGTAGAGAGGGGTGGTGACAAGAGTAGAGAGGTGTGGTAACAAGAGTAGAGAGGGGTGGTGATAAGAGTAGAGAGGGGTGGTGATAAGAGTAGAGAGGGGTGGTGACAAATGAGGGGTGGTGACAAGAGTAGAGAGGGGTGGTGACAAGAGTAGAGAGGTGTGGTGACAAGAGTAGAGAGGGGTGGTGACAAGAGTAGAGAGGTGTGGTGACAAGAGTAGAGAGGGGTGGTGACAAGAGTAGAGAGGTGTGGTAACAAGAGTAGAGAGGGGTGGTGATAAGAGTAGAGAGGGGTGGTGATAAGAGTAGAGAGGGGTGGTGACAAATGAGGGGTGGTGACAAGAGAGGGGTGGTGACAAGAGAGGGGTGGTGACAAGAGTGGAGAGGGGTGGTGACAAGAGTAGAGAGGGGTGGTGACAAGAGTAGAGAGGGGTGGTGATAAGAGAGGGGTGGTGACAAGAGAGGGGTGGTGACAAGAGTAGAGAGGGGTGGTGACAAGAGTAGAGAGGGGTGGTGACAAGAGTAGAGAGGGGTGGTGACAAGAGTAGAGAGGGGTGGTGACAAGAGTAGAGAGGGGTGGTGACAAGAGTAGAGAGGGGTGGTGACAAGAGTAGAGAGGGGTGGTGACAAGAGAGTGATGGTGACAAGAGTTGAGAGGGGTGGTGACAAGAGTAGAGAGGGGTGGTGACAAGAGTAGAGAGGGGTGGTGACAAGAGAGGGGTGGTGACAAGAGAGGGGTGGTGACAAGTGAGGGGTGGTGACAAGAGTAGAGAGGGGTGGTGACAAGAGTAGAGAGGGGTGGTGGCTAGAGAGGGGTGGTGACAAGAGTAGAGAGGGGTGGTGACAAGAGTAGAGAGGGGTGGTGACAAATGAGGGGTGGTGACAAGAGTAGAGAGGGGTGGTGGCTAGAGAGGGGTGGTGACAAGAGAGGGGTGGTGACAAGAGTAGAGAGGGGTGGTGACAAATGAGGGGTGGTGACAAGAGTAGAGAGGGGTGGTGACAAGAGAGGGGTGGTGACAAGAGTAGCGAGGGGTGGTGACAAGAGAGGGGTGGTGACAAGAGTAGCGAGGGGTGGTGACAAGAGTAGAGAGGGGTGGTGACATGAGAGTGGTGGTGACAAGAGAGGGGTGGTGACAAGAGTAGAGAGGGGTGGTGACAAATGAGGGGTGGTGACAAGAGTAGAGAGGGGTGGTGACAAGAGTAGAGAGGTGTGGTGACAAGAGTAGAGAGGGGTGGTGACAAGAGTAGAGAGGTGTGGTAACAAGAGTAGAGAGGGGTGGTGATAAGAGTAGAGAGGGGTGGTGATAAGAGTAGAGAGGGGTGGTGACAAATGAGGGGTGGTGACAAGAGTAGAGAGGGGTGGTGACAAGAGTAGAGAGGTGTGGTGACAAGAGTAGAGAGGGGTGGTGACAAGAGTAGAGAGGTGTGGTAACAAGAGTAGAGAGGGGTGGTGATAAGAGTAGAGAGGGGTGGTGATAAGAGTAGAGAGGGGTGGTGACAAATGAGGGGTGGTGACAAGAGAGGGGTGGTGACAAGAGAGGGGTGGTGACAAGAGTAGAGAGGGGTGGTGACAAGAGTAGAGAGGGGTGGTGACAAGAGTAGAGAGGGGTGGTGACAAGAGTAGAGAGGGGTGGTGATAAGAGAGGGGTGGTGACAAGAGAGGGGTGGTGACAAGAGAGGGGTGGTGACAAGAGTAGAGAGGGGTGGTGACAAGAGTAGAGAGGGGTGGTGACAAGAGAGGGGTGGTGACAAGAGTAGAGAGGGGTGGTGACAAGAGTAGAGAGGGGTGGTGACAAGAGTAGAGAGGGGTGGTGACAAGAGTAGAGAGGGGTGGTGACAAGAGTAGAGAGGGGTGGTGACAAGAGAGTGATGGTGACAAGAGTTGAGAGGGGTGGTGACAAGAGTAGAGAGGGGTGGTGACAAGAGTAGAGAGGGGTGGTGGCTAGAGAGGGGTGGTGACAAGAGTAGAGAGGGGTGGTGACAAGAGTAGAAAGGGGTGGTGACAAATGAGGGGTGGTGACAAGAGTAGAGAGTGGTGGTGACAAGAGTAGAGAGGGGTGGTGACAAGAGTAGAGAGGGGTGGTGACAAGAGTAGAGAGGTGTGGTAACAAGAGTAGAGAGGGGTGGTGATAAGAGTAGAGAGGGGTGGTGATAAGAGTAGAGAGGGGTGGTGACAAATGAGGGGTGGTGACAAGAGAGGGGTGGTGACAAGAGAGGGGTGGTGACAAGAGTAGAGAGGGGTGGTGACAAGAGTAGAGAGGGGTGGTGACAAGAGTAGAGAGGGGTGGTGACAAGAGTAGAGAGGGGTGGTGATAAGAGAGGGGTGGTGACAAGAGAGGGGTGGTGACAAGAGAGGGGTGGTGACAAGAGTAGAGAGGGATGGTGACAAGAGTAGAGAGGTGTGGTGACAAGAGTAGAGAGGGGTGGTGTCAAATGAGGGGTGGTGACAAGAGGGTGATGGTGACAAGAGTTGAGAGGGGTGGTGACAAGAGTAGAGAGGGGTGGTGACAAGAGTAGAGAGGGGTGGTGGCTAGAGAGGGGTGGTGACAAGAGAGGGGTGGTGACAAGAGTAGAGAGGGGTGGTGACGAATGAGGGGTGGTGACAAGAGTAGAGAGGGGTGGTGACAAGAGTAGAGAGGTGTGGTGACATGAGAGTGGTGGTGACAAGAGAGGGGTGGTGACAAGAGTAGAGAGTGGTGGTGACATGAGAGGGGTGGTGACAAGAGAGGGGTGGTGACAAGAGAGGGGTGGTGACAAGAGTAGCGAGGGGTGGTGACAAGAGAGGGGTGGTGAAAAGAGTAGCGAGGGGTGGTGACAAGAGTAGAGAGGGGTGGTGACATGAGAGTGGTGGTGACAAGAGAGGGGTGGTGACAAGAGTAGAGAGGTGTGGTGACAAGAGTAGAGAGGGGTGGTGACAAGAGTAGAGAGGTGTGGTGACATGAGAGTGGTGGTGACAAGAGAGGGGTGGTGACAAGAGTAGAGAGGTGTGGTGACAAGAGTAGAGAGGGGTGGTGACAAGAGTAGAGAGGTGTGGTAACAAGAGTAGAGAGGGGTGGTGATAAGAGTAGAGAGGGGTGGTGATAAGAGTAGAGAGGGGTGGTGACAAATGAGGGGTGGTGACAAGAGTAGAGAGGGGTGGTGACAAGAGTAGAGAGGTGTGGTGACAAGAGTAGAGAGG